AGCCATTTTTTTTGTTAAATCAAATTCTAATATGTGTATTTAGCTATAGCACTAGTATTATGGAGTATCTGAAAGAATAAAGGTACCAGAACACACAGACCCGAGGCAACGTCTTTTGGTGGATAAATTTGGGATAAATTACTAAGTTGGTAGCGTATTATAAAATCTATAATCATAGTTCGTTCGTAGTTACTAAAGCACACGTGAAAATAGTAAAATGAAACGAATTATCGAACTAACATCGATAAAATGTCGTATCTTAATGCTAGAATCATGACTAGAATCCATCTAGTCAAATCTTGCGGGCAAGAAACTGTAACTAAAAATTGTAGTATAAATGTATAACTGAAAAACTATGATATCTAGCTACTTCCACACCCAGTCTGTATAAGCAAGACCTGCCGTCTGTCACATGTACAAACGGTAACATATCTTAACGTGTAGAGTGTTGATATTTACGGGCCCTTTGATGTAATGAAACACTGGCTTCTGAATTCAAGAAACTTGTGTCTTGGAAGCCAGTTCCTTCCAAAAATAAAACTTGTTGGTATTGTTGAGTAGGTCAATAAAACAACAATAACAATAAAAAAACAACAATTTATTAAAAAATAATACAAAATAAAGTTACATCTACAAATGAAATTAGCGTGCGTGCAAAAAGCTTTTTTTGAAATTTGGTATCTGTCTCCTTTGTCACGCCTTTGCTTCCTTGTTACCGATAACACCTGATTCTAAATATTAAATAAGGTAGTATTCCTTAGACAGCATGCTGGCGCAGATGGTGATAACGGCTCTCCTGGCGTTCAGCATGGCTCCGTGCGTGATCCAGAAGTTGTGCACCGGCCCCCCGCATCGTCCGCCATCTAGCGTCTGTATGCACAGGCTCGACCAGTTTGAAAAGTAATTTAATTATTGGTTTCATTGTATATAGTAATAGGCAAGACCCATTTAAAAATGAATACTAATTTTGAAAAGGGTTTTGTACAAGAGAATAACATCCATATAAGATGTCATCAACAATGAGGAGTCTGTCGTAGCCAAAACGTGAACTTTTAAAAATTTCTGGTTACAAAAAAATACTTAATACCTGTAACGCCCATTTTCACTAACCTATGACAAAGCATAGCTTAAATAGGAAACGCCTAACATTACGAATCGCCTAAGCAGATTAATTTCTTTTATCCCTTGACATATTTATCTGTCATATACGCAGACGCCTAACGCAAAGCTATACTTCGAATCATAACGAATATCATAACTTAAGATTTTGCTTAATTTCATTAGGTGGTTCCTAGTCAATGATGAAATTAATATTTACCTTAGGCGGTTCGTAAATGTTTAGGCGACTCCTAAGTTTAGTGAAAACGGGCATAAAATTCTCATTTTTTGCCATTTCTATTTTAATACCTCTCATTAAAAGAAAAATTTATTAATGTGAACCAAAGATTTTTTTCAGTATGTTTACTATTGTATGTTTACAGGGATCGATATTAGGACCATTGCTTTTTCTAATTTATATTAATGATCTTCCTCACTTTACAAAGAATTTGTGCGAGGCAGTGTTATTTGCTGATGACACCTCTTTAGTGTTTAAAGTTAAGAGGGGTAATGATTGTTTTGACGATGTAAATGATGCTCTCGACTATGTACTACAGTGGTTTGATAGTAATAATTTAAAGCTTAATTCAAATAAAACAAAATGCATAAAGTTTGCATTACTTAATGTGAGGCATGTTAATACACTTATAATTAAATAGTGAAAAAGTTGAGTTGGTGGAATCGACAAAGTTCACTAGATTCCCGACTGCAATGGGATCCTCATATTGATAATTTGTCAAGTAGACTGAGTTCTGCAGCATTTGCTGTTAAGAAAATTAGACTCTTGACAAATGATGAAACGGCAAGATTGGTATATTTTAGTTATTTTCATAGTGTAATGACGTATGGTATAATTTACGGTCTAGAGAATCTCTCAGAGAAATATTCAAAGAAATAAATATTTTGACTGTTGCCTCTCAATACATCAATGAAAATATTATCTATGCAAGAAAACATTACGATTCCTTCACAAATAAAGTAGTGTTCATAATCTTAACACAAGAAATAAAAATAAACTTGCCGTTCGAAGCTTCAGACTTCAGAAAACTAGAGGATCATTTCTGGGTAAATGCATTGTATGTTCAATAAAGTTCCACAAAATGTAGTTGACCTACCCATAAATAAATTTAAAATTCATGTAAAGAACATACTAATGAGTAAAGGCTATTTATTATAAAGTTGATGATTATTTTAAGGGTCGCAATGCGTGGAATAAATAGCCTTCGCTTTGTTCTATAAAGACAAATTATATGTTCAACCTATGTCCTACAGACTTTGAAAGTTGTATTTATTATTGTGATAATACATATTATTTTGGTAATGACATGATTTATGTAAATGTCATTACTTATGATAAAAAGCTGGTAAGTTTCTTTCGCTTGTTCTTCTTGTCAGCTAAAAGACGTCCTGAACAAGTGGTAGGGAAAAAAAAAATTATTGGACGATTCAAAAGTGCTTGTAATAGCCTACTTGAATTGAGGTATTTTCATTTCATTTCACTATAATCGCGTTAGTTTGCGACTTCAGTATAATTAAATAAAAGCTGATTTTGACAGGGACAGTTTGTTGGCTCTTAAATAAATTCCAGTATATTTATGTGGATGGGCTTTAGACTAAAGTTTGTTCTTTCAACGATCTGGAAGTTTAAGGAAGTCAGTCATTAAATGGGCGACCAAACTTTATTATCTTTATCTCTTGCTTGGTTGGTCTCGGCCCATTCTCTATTCAATTCCTTCCATAGGGAAGGTCTATACCTACATATTGAATACTTTAGGAGATTTTTTAAACTTTATATTGCCTTATCACTTTAAACATTAGTTACTAAAATAATTACCTGTTAGCATGTTATTTACTCATTACCACGTGTTACTCATGCCTTGGTCCTTGACAGAATAAATTAAATCTACCCGTACGCCGAATAGTATTGCTTCCGTTAAAGAAAAAAACCATATCCTTAGGCGTTTAGTATGCGTGGTGCGTTTATATCAAGGTAGAAGTATTGCAATATTACAATGGGTAAGTATTTGTGTAGGTAGGTACTTTGTACGTCCTGGGAACATTTAAGAGTATAAAAAACATTTGAAAAAATCGAAAATCAGAGAGGAAGGAAAGATATTGTCCAAAAAATAGAAACTAAGTAATTAGCATCATGTGGGGAAAACTCTTCTCCCTTCTCACATCATCTCCCATAGCGTTTACCATATTTCTATTATCTATACTAATATTATAAAGCTGAAGAGTTTGTTTGTTTGTTTGAACGCGCTAATCTCAGGAACTACTGGTTCGAATTGAAAAATTCTTTTAGTGTTGAATATACCATTTATCGAGGAAGCCTTTCGGCTATATAACATCACGCTGCAACTATAAAGAGCGAAGAAATAATGGAAAATGCGGACGCAGTCGCTGGCGACCACTAGTATTGTTATAAAAATTCTGATCTTTGTCCTAGTGATATTTGTCTTCTTCTTCAAAAAAATAATAAAAAAAAAGCAATTTTTGCATTATCATTAGGCTTTAATCTTCTCAATACATATACATTTTTACCCAGATTGAACTGCATTTATACTTATTGAATATTAAAATAATACTGAAAATATTGCTTTTGGCTTTTTATTAGAAAAATAATAAACAACGTCGATTTACAATGAACAGTTGGTATTTATTTGGTTTCAGCCAGAAATAGAACTAAAGACTTAGATGGCTCTATACTAGGCATGTCATCCAATTTTAATTCAGATTCCATGTTTGCAGAGATTCATCGAAGGATAAATCTTGTGCATCTATAACGAAAAAGGGATCAAATGGAAAAAATTGAAGAAATTATTATTTTTTCACCCTGTGCTAGTGTGCCTAATTGTACAAAATAGTCAAGGAACTGTGTTACAAAATTTTAATATTGGAATTCGAATTGGTGAGTTTGCTAGATTCGAAGTAGCAGTAGCAATAGTTTTGGTTCAGAAATGTAAATAATAATGTTGGAGACAATGGTTTGAATATTTGGCGAGTTACCGTGCGATGTTGTGAGACATATCGTTCTTTGTTTATATACAAACAAACGTGTGTTTCGTTTATAAACATTTGTCCCCCTACCAAGATTTATTAACTCAATAACGGTTAGTTTTGAAGAAATTTATCTAAAGTCTTAGCTAATGGGATGTAGTTAACATAAAGTAGGTACTCTCTTCCTAGGACAGGTGAAAGAGCAGGTGAAAAATGAACACCTACCTGCTGTTCCGGGCAGTACTGCCTGTCGCTGTTGTATTGAGTGGGAACAGCGACTTATATCGTCCCGCACAACGAAACGCAGTACTTTCCGGAAACTATATAGTGTTCTATGGCTAACGATACGTATCGTTCGTTGTATTTTGTCGTCTTCTCGGGAACAGGCTAGAGCAATGTATAAATACGAACTGAGGAGTAACAAAATAACAAAAGGGTTATCTTTTTCGCTATCGACTCAAAATATTATTGATTTAACGAATTCTATTTGTATGCAACTGATATAGGTAATATTTGTTGTCATAACGTTTATTTTCAACTTAAGGAAAAAACTCTTTGATCGTAATTGTATATAACGCTTTCATTTTAATCTGGTAAATTATTAATGAACTTTGACTGTATTCAAATTTTATTTAAACATATTCTTACATTTATGTAGATATCAATGAAAATGGAGTCGCGTAACAAATCACAAAATGGAGCCACGTAACAAATCACGGTAAATTTCAAATAAAAATATTTGAAGTTACCGTTATTTGTTTTGTAATTCATCTCTACATTCTATATTAATGAAATAAAACGTTTTCAGGGTAATTTAGTCCAGAAGAAAGATAAACATTTGTCGACAATAGTAGGGGATCTACTGTCCAAGGATTATGCGTGCGCGCATAAATCACGGTGCGCATGCCTGCGCGCGCGAGTGGACTTGGAAACGGTGTTGCGGGTGTTCGTGGTTCACTTGTTGCTTCAGTTGTCGTTGTGCTTGCACCAAACAGTCTACATATTGAACAAATGATTTGGACACTGGCTCTAGGACTACTCGGTGTTATTGGAGGGTTGCATCCAGTAAGTGTTTGCGTGGGTCATATGATTTTCGTCGTATTAACTGTTTTCCCGCGACTGCGCCCGTATAAATTATGCGTAATATTTGATTCTATTGGATACAAACAAACATACTATCAAATCTGTGTATACGAAAAGTTTTCAAAATCATTTTAAGTATGTGAGCTTGTTATGAAGTAGGTATTGTGGTGATAATTTTGGACAATCAGTCCATTTTCTTATTTAACGATTAGATGTTAACATGGGTAGTTTGATTTTGCTATTTAAATTTAGATTCTAGATTGATGGGGTCTTAACATAAGCTTAGTTCCGATTTCATAACTCATATCTGTCACTAATACTTATACATTAAACTTTATAATTATTTTTTCAGGCAACAACAGGATGCAAGAATTGCATCGTAAGTATTTTTTTTCATAGCCTATTTATCCAAACTATTCATCATCATCAGCCTAGTCTACTCATGTAGCTGGGGCACAGATCTTACTCTAGGATGGAAACATATATAAGAACAGTCATAACCCACCGCGAGGGTGAACGTCAAGATAGCAGGCACATCAACGTGTTTGAGGGTCTTATGTATGTCAACAAATTGTGAGTAAATAGTGACAATAGGGATGACGACTGGGTAAAAAAAATACAATTCTATTTAGTCCGTCAGTCACATAATAGAAAAATATTAGATACGTATTTTTTTTATTTCAATTTAACAAGAAATAGCTTAGATAACGGGCATTAAAGTTGCGGAGTGGGGGCTCGCTACGTCACAGTTTAGTAGAAAACGTACCATAACGTGACGTCGTGCGAAATTTGAACTCAATGTAACGCCGTAATTTTATGATTACGAAAAAAGTAAAGAAATACGTGTTTAATATTTTTTTAACACTCTACCTGATGGACAAACAAACAAAAATTAGTCATCATCCCTATTAAAGATTCATAGCATATAATTATTGACACTATAAATTAAGAGTGACAGAGATTGAAATATGTATTAGTGTGCCTGCTAACTGGACGTCTAAGTATCAGACACACTAGAAATACGATTCGTATTAATTTGAAATACATGTCAAAAAATTGTGAGCAATTAGTGACTTATATTTTCAAGACTATATTAAAATCTGTGATTAATTAAAAAAAAATCAAATACGTTGGTTTGCCTGCTAGCTTGACGTTCACCCACAAGGACCCAGTGCGGATCGGAGGGTGTCGACGACTAAAAACATGAAAAACATGATTGACCTTGAGAAATTGCTTTACCTCTGCATTTGAGTTTGTCGTACTTACCTTTCTAATGTTTGATTACAGTCGCTTGGCAAAGAGGAGAAGGCGATGTTCCGTGCCCATTCCGACGCGTGCCTCCCGCAGTCCCGAGTGGACCCGAAGTTGGTGGAGGCGATGCTCAACGGCGAGTTGACGGACGACCAGGGCTTGAAGAGGCACGTGTACTGCGTCCTGCTCAAGTGCAAGGTAATCAGCAAGGACGGCAAGCTGCAGAAGACGGCGGTGCTCGGCAAGATGGCGAACAGGGCCGACGGGAAGAACGCAACCAAGGTTAGTGTCGCATGAGTTTTTATGTAGACAACAGAAAAAAAACGCAACGTTGCTCCTAAAATTTAAAATTTTTTATTTTTCTTGCTGTAGGTGAATATAAACTTTTTATAGCATACACATGTGAATCACTTTGTAGTAGCACTAAAGGGAATCGTAATCATTTGTGAGTTTATTCATTAGGTACCGGGCACTACTGAGATTGAGTCATTCTAAATTGTTATTTATTAATCATAATAATATTTTTATAATACTTGTTCAATTTTGCATTCACTATACTATATTGCATAATATTCTTAATGAAAAATGCTCGAAAGTCGTCCGGATCGCGAAAGGTTGTGGGTTCGAGTCCCATCTCAGGGTGCCATTGACAAAGTGGATTTTTAAAGTATATTTCATTAATTAATTTTTGTTCAATTATTAACAACAATAATATTTCTTCGTCATCTAAGCTCACTTCTATTATCAAAGTATCAAAGACCTCCATTAACTTTATTAATGAGGAAGTATTTTAAGAAAAAAAAGAAAGCACTAATAAAGTACCTCACTAGATGGCGACTACCAAAAGTAGATTTTTACAGGAAACGAATAAACCAAAGATAGTAATTTCCGTTCCTTCCGTTTAAAAAAACTGAAGTTCGAAACTTAGATATCAATACAAATACGAAAAAGTACAAATAGAATATGAGTTTTTATTGAGTTATGAAATTAATTTACTTTTATACAAGAAAGAAAACCGGAAGGATTGTTATGGAGAAATCAAGAAAATACCGTAGCGATATTTAGTTTGATTCCGGGAACTAATGTATTTTTTAAAATACATCCTCATTGCGAAATTGAATTAGGTGACTTACATACAAATAGCAGGAGCACAGTGTACCCGTGCTCGCGGAGCCTTAATTATGCTTTACCTTTTAAACAAAAAAGTAAACATTGCTCTTAAATTGTTATAGGTGCTAGAGACTTGCGCAGACCAAGGCGGAGACACGCCAGAGGATATCGCATGGAACATCTTCAGGTGCGGTTACGACAAGAAGGCCGTACTATTCGAATACATGCCCACTAATATCGCTACTGGCGATATGGAAAACAACTCTAAATAAAATGTCTTTTCACTATCTCTTAGTCACCAGACCCTAAATGGCAAAGTTTCTATTCTTTTGAACGCTATTTTTAAAAAATCAATTAAGCAATTAGCGTTAAATTATATCTTTTGTGTGTCTATCAAATTAATGTTTGTCATCTATTTATTACACACTTAATAAATTAATAATATATTACACTTGCTTAGACAATAAGAAAGGAAATGCTTTTTTTATTTCATTTTACATGTAGAAATTTATTTATTCACTTGACATTGGCAGAATTGTGCGAAATGCGCAGATAAGTCATTAATAAAAGTAGAAGAAGAAAGGAAATTTATTTATTTCTAATTAAATATCTCTACCATAAAATGGTAATCTACGTGAAATTGGAAGTTGTGCGAAAATTACATCTAAGCATTATGATATTATATTACGATATTGGCTTTTATCGTTAATAGCTTTTTTTGTAAGCGTTTGAACGAATAAAAAGTTTGCCATTTGTCTACAAGATTCGTTTCGTCTATAGATGGCGCTGTATTTCCTATTTATTAAATTTTGTTACCGTCCATTATTGATAGCGAATTCTCCTTTATCTTTTTATTTAAAAATAAATGCTTTCACAAAATGTTTTTTTTTTAATTTTTAGTTCCTCCTAGGTTATATATATGTGTCGTCTCTATTCGTGACAACGTTCGATAAAATTAACATGAGTAGTCAGCACGTCGGTTTAAAGGTCGACACTTCTGAGGTCCCGGGTTCGATGGCCGGGCGGGTTATTTGTCTCGGGTCTGGGTATATGGATATACCTTATATATATTGGATATACCTTCGTCGTTTCTGATTCCATTATACAAGGTTTATGATTTTAGTGTTTGTTTGCATTGAAAAATTTCAAAACTACGAATTTAATAATTCATCCTTATTATATATCATACATAGGCTATACTTACGCGGGCAATGACACGGGGAAATGGCTAGTTTATTATAAAATATTCAGTGGAACTGTCACTTAAGGTAGTGGTATTTAAATACGCTTAGGATATAGGTTTGCGATTCCGGGTACACAAGACCGGTCTTGTTATTTCCAAGAAGATTTCTGTAAGCTCCGTAATGGTTTCGTCACACTTCGGAACGTCCGGGATTGATCGAAATTTTTTAAAGCTACGAACTAGTATAATAAATTTAGGTTCAGATTAAAGCTTTTGTATTTTAGGTATTGAATAGAGCCAAAATAAATAGAAAATTATTTTGACAACATACATATGTATAGAAGGGTTTTTAATACATATGTAAAGAATACGAGCAGCTCGGTGGCGTAGTGGATAAGCGCCGCGGCCCGCGATCGTAGTCGTTAAGCAACTTTCGCAAGGGTCGGTCACGGGATGGGTGACCAAAAAATTATTATCTCGAGCTTCTCCGTGCTTCGGAAGGCACGTTAAGCCGTTGGTCCCGGCTGCATTTGCAGTCGTCAATACCCTCCAATTGGGCCAGCGTGGAGGGTCATGGCCCATCCTCCTTAACCATCCATAAGGAAGGCCTGAACCCCTGCAGTGGGGACGTAAAAGGGCTGGTGAAAAAAAAAAACATATGTATGTGGGCATTTGAAGTATTGCTGTGATATAACGTTGTTATGGCATATTTCGTTTCCTTAACCATTTCCCAGGGTGCACAGACTACTTATTATCTCAGAAAAATGTTTAGAATAATTTCGGTTAGTATAAGTTATGAGTGTATACCAATATATCTGCTAGCTTAGACCAACGGCCCATTTCTAGGTGCTACGTAAAAATAGTAGGTACTAACTTTAAAAGTGTCAGTGCTGATTTCTATGTACATGTTAGAAAATATTATTAAAAGACTTCTTTCGATTGCGGTTATTTGAACCAGACGCTTTAAAGCTCCTAAAATAATAATTTAACTTCACTTACAATCTGTCTTGATCTTTATATTTAAATAATACATACTGAGGTAAGTAATTCAATCATTTTCGTAAACAACCAGACCAATCGGAGAGGTCTAAAATCACCCCAGACACACTTTTGTATGAGCGCGAGCGTAATGAATAATAGGGATGATGACTAATTTTTGTAGAGTGTTAAAAATATTAAACACCTATTTTTTATTTTTTTCGTAATCATAAAATTACGGCGTTACATTGAGTTGAAATTTCGCATGACGTCACGTTAGAGTACGTTTTCTACTCAACTGTGACGTAGCGAGCCCCAACTCCTCAACTTTAATGCCTGTTATCTATACTATTTCTTGTTAAATTGAAGTAAAAAAAAAATACGTATCTAATATTTTTCTATTATCTGAGTGACGGACTAAATAGAATTTCATTTTTTTACGCAGTCATCATACCTATTGTTGATAAAGAATGATGAATAAGGATTTTGCAGCAATATTACCAATTTAGTCGTTTATCCAACTACCAAAAGACCGCAGCTTCCATCATACAAATCGATAGCGTACTGTCTGTAACAATAGTCATAAAAACCGGCGACATGCTCGCCTATAAAAAGAGTAATGAATGTGGATGGGACTAAAGATGTATGTAAGGACCGTGCCTTGTTGCACTAGGTACGGCTTGCAGATAATAGATAGATCATTGATTTATATACTATAATCGTATAAAATAGATACGAGTAGTAAATACCTAGTCGGCTTGCTTTAACGTAAAGAGCCACTTCGAATATAAAACCTCACAATGTACGACTTAGCTTGATCTCCCCGAAAGGTAATGTTTAATTGTGTTTCTACTTGCACCTACATTTATCTGAGTGCGGGATTGTAACTTTTTGTGGTTCTTTAATATGTGATGTACAATTGACAGCAAGTCAGGTTCAGACAAAAGGCCCCTCAATGGGTAAAGTAAACGACGTAAATAGAAAGTTATGAACAGGGCATGTCGTATAATTAATAGAATAGAATAGGTATTTATTTTGTCAATACAAAACACATACACACACATTTAAAACAAACAAAACAATGAACAGATCGGAAAGTACTAGTATGAATAAAAATTACAAAGTACAATGTCGTGTGTTATAATTGGCTCCAGCTCAGTGTAAGCAATGAGTTTTGCCTTTTGCAATGGATACCATTGCGAAAGCAGAATACCTACCAAGCAGAAAGCAGAATAGCAGAATACCCTTTGGGCGTATGCCCATTATTATAAATTATTATTTACCATTATTATTATATATTCTGCTATCTTAATATTGTGAAAATTTTAGTTATTCACGTTCTGACCCAAAAGGCGTCATTCCCAATCAAATGACTATCCAGTAAAAGAGGAGTTACAAAACCAATTGAAATTTATTAATTTTTAGTTAGATTACCCCTCAAATTTAAATTTTGTGCTTACCCCGATGCAGTGCTATGTGTAGGTGAGAATGATTGCCGATATCATATAAATTGAGCGTAAATCAACACGATTCGTCATGTAAGTAAGTGTCATTAAACTGCGAAGTGCGATGAAATCACCGCGGATATATAATGTGATTCTATTGCAGTTTAGGTGTTGATGTAACGCTCCACGGAGTACGAGGTCATGTATTTTTTGTTGGTAACATCATTAGACATTAAATCTTCGACACTTGACAATTAGATTCACAATCCAATACAGATAGTTATTTTTAGAAAAAATATTTCTAAAAAATCTACATATTCAAGTGTCGTCGAGATTGGATACCAAATCGAACGAAAGGATAGTCTTTTCGCCAATCGGGGGATCTAAACGAATTAATAGTTATCTGAGGCATCTGTTTGAAAAATGAGAACCGATATCAAACTTTCAAAAAGTGGGAAATATCTATTACTTATCTCAAAAGCTGTTAAATTTTATAACACTCTGTCAATTTTGCAATCACAATGTTATACTGGCCCCAGACATACCCCTAGATAGGTATTTAAGCATAACTGTATAAAAATAATAATTAAAACAAATTTTCATCTTTATAAAAAAAACATATAAATATTTATTTGTAAAAATATTTCTTTTTCGTTTGAATGGATTGCCTGAACATTAATGAAAGCTCACTAACAGCGAAAAGTAACAAGTCCTTAAAAAATTCTTCAGTCCTGTTGGGTCACGAGTAGCTTGGTAGTTAGAGCAGTCACCCGGGTAGCGAAAGATCGTGGGTGTCCCATCTCGGGATCCAGGTAATCTGGTGGATTTTTCGTTAAGAATAAACTGCTAATGAAGTCGAGCGAAAATTTTCTAAAGGTTATTAGATGATACACAGGAAGAGCCTTCGCTGAGATTGTAGGTAAACTGATTACTAGTTTTCGCTTTTTACAATACTTACCTAGGTTTAAGAGACTGAATAAATGATATTAAATTTGAAATATTTTGTTTCTATATTGATTACGGTTCATTTTTTCTCTCTCATACGATGCGCCCGAGTAGTTCGCACGCCGGTTTCAATGTGTCGCCATCTCTTAGGTCCCAGATTCGATTCCAGGTCGGGTCAATGTAGAAAATGAACTTTTCTATATTGTATCGGGTCTGGGTATTATGGCACCTTCGTTGTCTCAGATACTCCATAATACGGGGGCTTTAGCTACTCATCTTGGAATCTGAGCAGTGTATGTGATGTTATTATATATTTATTTATTTAAATAAGTGTCACGCAAATGAAGAATATGTACATATTAGTTTAGTATACACCTATACAGTTCGATTGAAATATGACGATGATGAGACGTAGGTAAATAGATGTTTTATATTTTAACCCCGAGACGCGAAACAATTAAACGCTTTTTCGTCTTTCGATTGTGTCTAGTAAAAAAAACCTTTAATGTGAACTTATTATATTGTGCATAGTGCCTTGTTAAATATATATACATTAACAACATAACACGACGTGCAAGGGAAGTTGGCTGTATAAGCGTATTGCAAGTTAAGTGTAAATTATGTTTGAAACGGAGACTGTTCTGATCTCATTGTATCTGTGGGCGGTGACCCACAACCGCGCCTCCTAGGCTGGCAGTGTAACTCGCCTGCCTTTGCCTGACGTGCGACAATTCTTTTATGTTTCGCGCGCAAAAAACAATTTAAGAAACAAAAAGTCTAAAGATAAGAGCTTCTTTTGAAAGTTTTACATGTATTTGTTTTTTGGGATGCCCTATCAGTGATTTTGTGTTTTGAAAATAGTGATAAATTATTATAATTGTGTTGAATTCTGATGTGTGGATGCCGGGAGAGATCAAGCGTTTATGTAAAACGTAAGTTCCTTATTTTTACCAAAATACATCGGTAAAAAGCTGGGTGCTGATTTGTGAACATTAAAGTATCAAAACAAATTATAAAAAGGTAGTTTTACACTATAATCCTATGATATTTGTATTTATCACTATACGTAGCAGTAGTAGTAAGTATCTTATCTCCTCATGAATTCATTATGGTAATTTTGAAAGTGTGGTAAGATATTTTAAAAATTACAAATGTCAAACTACCAATAATAGTATTTGCTCTAACAGAATCTAAACGAAACCTAAAATATTTTCATTTAAAAATAATATGCTGAATCAGAAATTCGTAGTTTAAGTCTATTAAAATAATTCTGATATTTTATTTACATTTTAGTTACACCTAAATTACCATTGTTTTTGCCTGGAAAAAAAATTGTTTCTTTCTGCTAATCTACCTAATCCCAATTTTCATATTAATTTTTATAGCTGTTATCCCATAACTTCCCCTGCATAAATCACCCGCGTATGATGTAGCTTCCGATAGGTGATAGAATTTTCAGGATCAGATCAGTGTTTCCAAAGATTACCTACAAACAAACTAATAAAATTTAAAACTTTGCCTCTTTTTAAAATTAGAAACTTTGCCTCTTTTTAATATAAGTAAGTTAGATGACGAAGCAATGCGAATTAATGTAGGTAATAAAATACGAAATCGACAACGAGCTCCCTAACAGAGACGCAGCACGGCAGTAGTTAGTGCGTTCGGTCTGAGATGCGGAAGTCAAACAACATTTATAAGATGGGTGGCCGAAAATCAACCATCTCAAGCTCCTCCGCACGTCACACCAGCTGCATCT